ATTTCATAATTTGAAGATTCAAATATACAATTTTCAAAGGATACAATGTCCAATTCTAATTGGAATTCTGCTTATAACGTGGGATCTCCCACCAAACCACCAACTCTTGTTCAAGATGAATATCCTGCATAGAAAATTTGTGAAGAAACTTTCTTCATCATTTTCTCTTTTTCCTCTGAAACTAGAGCCAGAGGTCGTCCCATCACCATCTTACTCTTGTTAACTTTAGCTTCCTACGCTGCCAGAGTCCTAAAGATATCATGTAGAGCCCAACCTTCCAGATATTGATTTGCTTGAAGGGACATGGAAAGTTGAGTCCATTAATCTCCTAAGATCTTAAGGAACAAAATACTGTTTTCCTCATTAGACTTAATTATCCCATTCCTTTTGCATTTATTGATCAGAGAATAAAGTCGATCGTAAGTGGACTGGAGGCTTTCTCCTAGAGTTTCATAGAAAGAATTATACTCGTTTAAGCATTTAATCCTTCTATTTTTCTTTGTTTTGATTCCTCCCAAATCAAGTAACTCTAAACCACATAGTTCGTTTGTAGTAAAATCGCAACGCTCACTTTATAGATTAAAGCAATCTAGGCGGATGTGATATACTTGCCTAAGTGAATACTTGATTGGGAAGGGATATAAGAACGATGAACCGTGCCCTTGTGTATTTATAAAGAAAACGAGTTCTAGACTTTCAATCGTAGCTTTATATGTCGATGTTATGAACATAATAGGCACATTTGATGAAATAAGAGAAACCACTAGCTACTTGAAATCTAAATCTAAGATGAAAGATCTTGGGAACACTTGGTTTTGTCTTGCTATTTGAAATAGGACAAGAAGTTTGTGGAATATTATTCCATTGATCCACATATGTCTAGAAAATGATTAGGCGATTTAATATGGACAAAGTGCATTAGGATAGCAGTACTCTCATGATAGGTCGAAGTGTTGGATATATGGAAGGATCCATTTCATCCAAAGGATGATGACCAAGAGGTGTTGGGAGCTGAAATTCCCTATCTAAGTGCAATAGGTGCATTATTGTACTTAACACAATGTACTCGACTAGATTTTGCATTCTCATTGAACTTGTTAGCTAGATTTATCTCGTCACTAACTCAACATCATTGAAATTGTATCAAGAATATATTTCGATACCTAAAAAGAACTTTCGACATGGGCTTATTCTTTTCCTACAAAGAAAAAAATGGGGTTACTATACTTGTTAAAAGTATTAACAAAGAAAGTTTATCCCATACAGTAAAACCCGAAATGATAGGCTTTGTTGATGCTGGGTATCTTTCTGACCCACACAAAGGTCATTCCCAAACAGGATATGCTTTTACAATTAGAAACACGATGATTTCTTGGAAATCTACCAAGCAAACCCTTGTAGCTACCATCTCGAACCATTTAGAGATTATTGCTCTACATGAGGCAGTTCGAGAGTGTATATAGTTAAGGTCTGTCATTACACATATAAGAGGGGCTAGTGGTTTAAGTTCAACTACTCAAAATCCTACATGCATATATCAAGATAATGCAGCTTGTATCGAACAAATGAAAGTAAGATATATCAAGGGTGATAATACAAAACATATTTCTCCAAAGCTTTTCTATAATCAATAACAACAGACTCTACTTAAGATTCAAGCGAATCAAGTATGGTATGAGGAGAATGTGGCTGATTTGTTTACCGAAAACTGCCTAAGGTCACATTTGAGAAACATGTGGAAAATATTGTAATGTGGAGACTTTATAAACTTCCTTGATTAATGTATGTATCAAGGGGAGTAGTAGACAAAAGGGGGAGTCTACTATACATGTGATATTTGTACGTTGTGCTATTTCCTTCACCCAATGTTTTATTTTTCCCATTGGTTTTGTTCCTTAGTGTAAGGTTTTAATGAGACAACAATTTATATACCATATTGCTTTCCTAACGCTCATGATTAATGTACAAATCTGAAAGAATATTAGACTAAAGTGAAAAGTCAATGTATTGCAAAGAAACTGGTGCATTGTATTCTTTCCTTTATCCTGATTTTATTTTTTCCCACTGGGTTTTTATTTTGGCGTAAAGTTTTAACGAGGCAACAGTTGTGCACCATCACTCTCTTGACTCGGCACAAGGGGGAGTGTTGTATGATAACCGTGTCATCGTCTAAATAATATGACGATAGAGATAGAGATAGATGTATCATAGTTATATTAAAAGTGAAATATTTGTAGTTATCTATTTGTAACTCATTCATATAAAAAAACCTATAATTAATGAAAAATATAGATTCATTCTCACAATTCTATTGTTGTTTCTCTTTCAATTATTCTATTAGCACTTCAAAATTTCTTGAATGCAATTATTCTACAAATTAACCACAAGGGTGGTGCCTGATTGGTTTGAGTTTGGCTCCAAAGGTCAAAAGTACCTGGAGGTCTCAGGTTCAAAACCAAGGAGGAATAAAAATCCCCTTGTGGCCACGGAGGTTCAAATGCGGCGACTCCGGGCTATCTGCAAAGCCAGTGGTCGTCCTGAGATTAGTCGGCTCGCATAACAGGTTAGATATCCAGGTTAATAAAAAAAAATCTACAAATACATGTAAACTTATATTTAAATGCCACGTCATTAAAAAAAACCAGATAAAGACAACGTCTTATGAAAAATTGGAAGATTTTGTTTCTTTTATGAGATTTAATAAATCTAATAAGATTTTATACCGATTCCCATTTATTGCCTTCTGGAATATCTAATTAAGATATTATTTGATATTCCAAACATTTCCTTTAACCTCAAATGATTATTTATTGGGTTGAGTTCACTTGTGAAGGTACAACCGAACATTTACAGTAAAAATACTGTGAATGTTACTTTGACAGTATTTTGCTGTAAAACTTTCAAGTGTAAAAAATGGTCTTATGAAAATAGTCTAGTCCACATGATCTCAAGTCTCTATATATAGGGGCTTAATTATTTGAGAACTCCAAAATACATGAGATCTATGAGATCCATCGTAAGCCACTAATTTAAGATAATTAATTTTATTTATTATGAGATAATTAAGAAGATGATTATCTTTATTTATTAAATCAAAATTAATATAATTTTTGAAAATGCATTAATTTATAAGAAAATATTCACAATGTTCTCACAAACTAATTAAAGAGATGATTATACAATATGTTCACGAAGTATAATAATATTTATAAGAAAATGTTCACGATGTGCTCACAAACTATAATAATATTTATAAGCAAGTGTTCACAATATGCTCAAAAATTATAATGGTATTTATAAGAAAGTTTTCACAATCTGTTCACTTTGAATTCATATTAGCAAGTATAATATACATATATAAACACATAGATAGATAAAGGTCATTCAAGGGAGAACTGATTAGTTTGTGCTAACTATAAGATCCAATGTAAATCACTCGTTTGAGATATTTTAAGAATATTTATTAATAAGCTAAAAGGGTAATATAATAAAAAAAAATTGACAACTAATCAAAATATTTAATTAAATTTTTTAGAAGGAAATATTTAATTAAAATTAGTTACCTAGTATATCAATTACTTAATATACATCGTATTTTAAAGACGTTTGTGAATCAAATTGTACCATAGTGATAACGTTCACAATGTTTCACGTGTATCACAGTGTATTTTTCTTGTTTTATGAAATGTATCATATATGCATTTTCGTTATTTTCATTGTTTTATAAAGGGTATCACCCTGTGCATCTTATATGTGTATATGAGTATCACAGTGAATATCGTTTGTAGGTATCACTGTGTCGATCTTGTGTTCATATAAGGTTCATTGAAATAAGGTTCGTCGAATAAGATTCGCCAGAGAGAGGAAGAGAAGAGATGAGAGACGATATTTATAAAATCCCTAAAATGCCTTTATTTAATATTTTAAGTTAAAATTACTAAAATTATTAATTTTTTAATTTAATCTTTGATTTATAGTTAAGATTGAATATCACGGTTAGTGAGCTGACCCATTTGAAGGAGTAGAAATACTAGAGCGAGCCTATTAGCATTCAGTTTAAAGCCATGGCCTTTGCCCCTTGTTATATATTATATACGCTAATTAACGTTTATATTCATTTTTCACTTCACAAACTTAAGAAACATCCCTGAGAAGCATCAGATTTTTAAAACTGAATAACCAACCCAATGGTTTCCGGTTAAACAGTTCAGTTTCAGTTATTCTTTTATTATAACAGATAAACCGAATACCATAATTTTATAATTGATTTGAGACTTTAAGCAAGTAAACCATTTTACATTAAACCTAAAATAATAAGATATTAAGATATAATTTATAAAACAATATAGATTTTATAGAACATTGGTTTTTATAAAACACTTTTTCAAATAACATCATATAAAATAACTAATTTGACATTTTTATTTATAAAAATGTCCTAATAAACATGTTACGACATCTTTAAATATGACTATTTATTTTTTGGTCCTATAAACTTCAAGTTTATTATGAAGCTTAGACATTTTTACGTCCTATAAACCTAATTTTATACTAATGATATAGAATATATAACGAATATCATATGATACTCATGGTTTCAACTTATCCATAATGATGTTTGCATATAACGCAACTCCTACATGTACCTTGAGGGAGAGCGACAAATTTGAGTTGAGAGGGTTCTGAGAATTGGATTTGTATTAGGGATTGTTTAACAAGCTTACCCAGTAAGCGCTAAGTCGTAGTATCTTAACAAATGAATATGACAAAGACCGAGAATCTTATCCGGCAAGTGATGGTGACGACTCTTGCATGGTTTATGCTCACCGGGTAAATGCAACAACACAGTTTTGATGGATTAAAATCTTACCTGGTAAGCCAAATGATAATATTGAATCTTATCGATAAACGTTTACCAAGTACGTGTTGAATCTTGGTTTTGAAGACCTGAACTTTTTTTCGGTTACTAAAAACGGGCTTAGATGGTCTGGACTCGTGCCTGAGATAAGCCCGGATCTTGTGTATCTCTACTCACAACTACAGACATCAAGAACAGGGGAATATGAGAGTAGCAGAAAGAAAGTTAAGAAATGCAATATTTGACTGGCAACAAGAGAAGAGGTGCAATTTCAACTGAAATACTTATCTCACCATAACCTTTCTCAAGCAAGGTATTGGTATAGCTTTCTATCTGACCCGTCCCTCTCCAAGAAATCTCGCTCGATAAGCGATTCGATCCGTTTCTTGATCTCGCTTGGGTTTGCCAAGAACCGAGACTGCAGCTGCTTTATAACCTCCGCAATGATATTGTTATGGTCCAACACCCTTCTCGCTTTCATTATCCTCACAATTGTCGCCTCGATTTGCGGCTTCCGGTCCTCCTCCACTCTCTGTCGTGTCTCTTGTTTCTCCGGTTCGGATTCCTTTTGTGCAACCACAGTTCCGATTTTCACTTTATAGAATTTGCTTGTGAACTTTTCGTTCACCAAGAATACGTCATCTTCTCCGATGTCTTTACTCATGGGTTCTTTTCGAAGAATGTTCTTACCCTTGACACAAGCCATGGATTGCAGGCACCGTTTCAGGTCCGTAGACGGGATCTCGGTTGCCTGCTCGATTTCTTTATAGGTGAGCCGATCGGCATTGTTGAACAGCATCAGGACACACATCTGGTAAGTGGATACTATCAGCTCGTGCTTTTGACCCTTGTCGAAGTATGCTTTTACATCGCCCGTTCCCATGTTTGTTTGCCATGACAGCCTTCGACCAGTGTGGGTCCCGAGATAATACGACCTGAACTTTTCACAGAGAGACGTCAGCTCGGATGGCAAATTGCAGGTCACACTAGGCTGAGTCGGCCAGGAACCGGTGGTCAGGACTTGTACGACTAACGTGGGACCATCTCCTAAATCGGCACCATGGTCCGTATAAAAAACTTGCATAGTGTCCTGGGAGGTTTTCATGTCGGTAAACATGCCCTCCAGTTTCGACGTGAACTGGTACCCACACTCGGTTTTTAGCTTAAGAACCAGGCTTCTCTCGGCATCATCGGAAACGTCTTTTCCCGATAAAAGCCGCTTTGCCAAATGCTGTTTGTAGTACTTCTCAAAAACATCTTTCTCCTGCAAGTACCGAAAAAGCATCATCACCTTATCAAGAACAACCTCCACATCCTCCTCGCTGACTCCCTTCAGACCTTTCCGCAACTTATCATCCACAAACAACGAAATGAATTCGGGAGATCGAGGATTCAGATTGATGAAGAATTCAAATGAGGAATTCAGAGCGTTTTGGAAGGTCTTATCGTTGTTGAATGCCAACGTGATGATCTTGTCGTATTTGTCCTTCTCATTCAAGAGACACTGTACAAACTCCACTGGATCTTTCAACTTTTCTGGATCGCTAACGAGCTGCTTTCCAATCTCTCGTAGATAAGAGGTCATAACTTCACGGATTGTTGAGAGACCATTGGGAATACGATGGAACAAGTTATACATTCTTCTCAAATCTTCGTATTTGTCGTCAACAAGCATGTTTATCAATCCTGAATTCTCCATATGGACCAACCTGGTCATGTGGTTCATAATCATCTCTTTCTCTACAACATTCGTTATCTTGATTTCGCTTTTTGTATCCAAGTAATGTGACACTCTATCTATTTCTTCATTTAGACGTCTCTCTGCTTTCTGTAGGTAATCCCCACAGTCACAACACTCGATAAACTCCTGAGACTTGACCCTATAGAAATCTGCAGAAATTTCTAGAAAAAGTCTCTCAAAGTCAACTTGGTAAACGGAAGGTCCTAAATCCATCAGCATCTTAATAATATTTCTCATTAACCCCCGGTTTATAACTTCGCCAGTTCTTTCTTTATGTATGAGCTGAAGAAGTGTGTTTTGAAGCCGGGTTTGTATTCCACTAAGATGTATGACATTGTCCCTCCATAGATTCAGGCCAAGTTCATGAACAGGGGTTTTACGGCTACTGGGAACATAAGTCCGGTCCATATACATCAGAATGTCACGGATCATCTGCAATGCTTTATTGTGATCAGTCCATTTAGTGTTGAGCTCTTCCAGAAACATTTCCCCATGGGAATTTTCTATACATCCTGACATAGCCATTAAATGTGAAGTCATGGTGGATACTAGTCCTGTGTAAAGTTTTTCCCCAAATTTGTGCAATACCATATTGTAGGCGTTTCTGAATCAATGCAGGGATTTAATATCAGAACCCCGATATCCAAATGCATAAAAGCAAAGAGCGCTTGATGTGGTAAATGAAATAAGCAACAATTATAACCATGGGTAACAGGATGCAAGCGACTCTGATACTTGTATATCAAAGAAGAAACAATTATAACCGTTGCTAACACAAGTTTTTATATCAAATATTCGAGCTTCATAGCATTTTTCTGGAACCTGAATATGGACCAACTTAGAAAAAATCAGACATATTTACATTCATATCCCAAACCAAGGATCAACCACTTAGATAACATGCCCCAGTCCTATAAACAATAAAAACTGAAAGAAAATCTGCACAAGATTATTGAAACATGGAACTACTTATATGGTGGTGAAGCTTTTACAAGGACATGTCCCTCCCTTCCCTTTACACAATGTTCACTTGCCTCTCTTTCATGAACACAATTTACATTCATGTTGAGGACCTTCACCCTCGAATCTCCAACAACTAGAGACTCCCAGGATTACCACACTTCCTATTTTAGATAGCTGCTTCTTGCAGCCAGCCATGATTTCTTAGACCCCTCCCCCAAACCCCCAAAAAACCCTGAAGGGGAAAAAAAGAACCAGCCAACAGCAGCTCCAACAATTAGATTGGTTTCAATCTCTGCTATATAAATTTTTAGCCTGATATCTATTTATACCTACCTCAAGTCTTACTTTTTTCCTAAATACCATGCAAGACCTGGGCTATTCTTCTCGCAAGATTTTTTACTTGCCCACTTCATTTCCTGAAAGGATAAGTGCAATCAATCTCCTTCTGCTTTGTATATCATCTAGATCTCTCGACTTTCCTGTTACAACCCTACATTCCAACTTCTAAGCAGTATTCTGCTCTCCTGGACTAGCTTTCTTGCTCCCTGACGTACCCGTCCAAGCGTCCATTAAATTGCAAACATGCTAGTCATCTTCCAAGACATCCAGGCATAGATGTGGGATGAATAACAACCCAGCACTTGTTCAGTTCTATAAATGCTTGGATATGGCATATCTATATTCACTATAATCGGATACGTCATTGAGGGGGTGACGACTGAGACCTTTCTCATCATATATATATATATATATATATATATATAAAGAGAGAGAGAGAGGGGTATATTCTTTTGTTAGCCAATGCATTGGTGTTAACTTTTCAAACTCATCTGAGCCGTTTATTTTTTTGATCAACAGTTATGATTAAATGAAAGATTATAAACTGGTTAAAAAGGAAACACATTATATGGAATTGAGTCAAGGATAATTTTGGAACAAATTATTTTGTATTTTTGGAAGATAATTATAACTCCATTTATCCCTAAAATACGTGAGTTTCATATTTGAAAATTGCTTTCATGCATTTATGGTTTTGATTTAGGTTCCATCTATGAACTTTGATTGTTCCATTTCTTTTTCCAAAGTTCATAGGTGAAACTAGAGAATTCATAGATGAAACAATGATTTTTGTTTAAAGTTCATAGGTGAAACAATTATTTTCATTTAAAGTTCATAACGTTTTTCATGTGTTGAACTTCGATTGTTCCAATATTTTTTTTTATTAAAGTTCATAAGTAAAACCAGAAAGTGAATGAGATAATTAAGAATGTTTAACAGAGTTTGTAGGTGAAACCACAAGGTTCATCAGTGAAACAATAATTTTTGTTTAAAGTTCACAGGTAAAAGGCAATGATTTTTGTTTAACATTTAGAGGTGAAACAATGAATTTTTTCAAAGGTGAAACAATGATTTTTGTTTCGTCTATGAACTTCGGTTATTCCAATTTTCTTTACCATAGTTCATAGGTGAAACCAGAAAATGAATAAGATAATTAAAAAAGTTTAAACAAGTTCATAGGTGAAACCATAAATTTCATAGGCGAAACAATAAATGAAGGAACTTTAAGTAATATTCCTTAATATTTAATGAATCTAATAAGTAAGGAATGCGATAATTAAGTGAAAAAACCATATATTTTATGAATATGATAATTAATGAATGTAATGAACAAGTGAATGGGATATTTAAGGAATGTGGTATCAATATATAAAAAAGACAAAAATGCCCTGGTTAACAAAGTCACTACTAATTGTTTGGTTAACAAAAGAATGGAACCCTATACATATATAGAGAAGCGATCAAATACAAACCGCTCCCTTTTATACAAACTAGCATCAACCAATAGCATAATTCCATTTAATTTCCTTTATTTATAATTCATAAGGGTATGATTGTCCTTTGACTTTATAATAGATAATTTTAGTAATATCTTAATTGTGTCTAAATCGGAAAGATTATATAGATTAGAGGTTTGTTAGGAAATGATCAATCAATTTGTTTTTATAATAATCTTGAAACCAGTAAACTTTTAATAGATACTAACATCAATGAAACAGGGTAATTTCCAATGAAACAAGCTCAAACTGTTCAATGAAACAGGGTCATATATGTTTGCATAGATTCATATGTGTAACAGCTGCAATGAAACAAGTTTATATATCATAGGTATGTATAAAGTTTGTAATGAAACGGGTTCATATATAACAGTTGTAATGAAACAGGGTCATAGGTCATATATGATTGCATCAGGTTCATATGTATAACAACTGTAATGAAACAGGTTCATAGAACATGTTTTTCCCCGTTTTTCCCTTCCGTGTCTCCAATATGAATTCTTTATTTTCTTTTATTTTTTTACTTTACTTATTTAGTTTGTTTCAATCTTGGCCTTTCATCAAAAAAATGGATGGATGTGATTAGTTTGTAAGGTTGTATGAAATGAATGGTTTGCAAAGTAAACCTCCTCTCTCTCTCTCTCTCTCTCTCTCTCTATATATATATATATATGCATAATACTTGTGTGTGCAGTATCTAAGGGACAATGTAGTGTGTTGTTTAGGAGAGTTACACTCGAACAAAATTTCAATTGCTTTTGTTTTTCATGGCAATAGCTAGATACAAATACAATGCACTGTCTCGTGATACCAAACACTAAATCTTACTCAGTTACCTTTTAATGGGATTTCACTAAATCTTAAACTGTAGTATTATCACCAAAGGCGTTGAATATCATGAATCATTCTTAGTCAGAGATTGAAGCCTTAAGGAAAAGATATCTAAGTCCACAGGCAGTATGACGGTTACGGGGGTGGGGAGGATGGTCTAGGGGGTGAGGAGGAGGGGCAGGCTGAGGATGACGTGGGATGAGTAGTTGAGGATGAACATTGCAGCCTTACGCATTTGAGACAAGACCTCTGCTAGGAGCTCTGGACTAGGGTAGCAAACTATTGGTAGGGATTTGTAGCATGAACGGGATGAAGGGAGTTTGCAGTAACTAAAGGGTGAGACACAGCGAAGGGTAGCATGGTGGCAGTTAAGTTACGATGGTCTTACGTCCAATAGAGGATTCTCTTAGTTTTTCCTACCTTTCATGGTTTTTTTACTTGTGTGACCTGTTTGCTATATGCTAATCTTAGATTATTCTCCTGTAATTGTATTTGTCTGTACCGCGCTTCGCGTTTTCCTAGTTTGTTTAACCTATTTCCCTTCCATCTATCCATGGGGTATTTTTTGTTTATTGTACCCATTGCTTGTTGGCACACATTGTCATTTGTAGCTTGCTCACTTATTTCCCATTTGATTTATATTTTGCAAGTCGGGGTCTTAACTAAAGTACCCATGGGATATAGGTAAGGTTTGCGCATATCCTAAGTCCAGACCCTACCTTTGTGTGGGATTTAGTGGGATGAGAAAAATGATAAAGTTACAGGTATGTTGCCGGAAAGCCTAGACCTCACTGTTTTATAATTGAAAGCTCGATAATATAACTTCATATCCTTCTGTTAGTCCCAAGGTATTATAACACCAAGACAACAGCATGTGATAATTTCTATCTTAACTAATCACATCCCCTATATACTCCAGACACGGATCATAAAACTCATGCTCAGGTATCTACCAGTCGCCTATGATTTGTGCTCTCTTAAATGTGGGAAAATGCATTTGATTGTACCTGCATTCTTATCCTTTTTTCTCCACTCGTGGAACAAAACTCATATTTCGAGCCTCGGCATGATAATTTCATGCATGGGCCATGGTGAAACACATCTACTTGGTGTCTGATGGGAATAAGATTAGGGTAACAAAATTATCCTTATCTATTAGCTGGTATTTATACAAACTTAAATTAATAGTTTTACTTGATAGTTGATACTTGTGGATTTGGGGTATTCATGATTATTAAGTTATTTTTAGCTACTCACTCGAGACATTGTTTTTCCTTAGAAACCGATACAAGATCCAACTAATAGCAGGATCATATTTCCCTATCAATAGAACTATTTGTTATTATCAAACTTAAAAAAATTACCATATCTGTCTTTCTCTCTTTCACACACCTTGCACAAGCCGGAGGTCTCACGGAAACAACTTCTCCACTCTCTGGATGGAGGTTAGGTCTAAGTACAATTGTACATCTTACCCCTACCTCCGGATGGGATATACTGGACTCGTATGGTTCGTTGAGGTTATCCCATGTTGTCAAAGAGATTAGAATGCTATGATATGATTGAGTGGCTAAAAGGAGATTCTCTCTGTATGATCTGATATTGTGATGTAATGAGCTCTCCAATTCGAGGCCTTAGGTTTACATTGAAGGTCAGAAGGTGAAATCTAAGAAACCTTAGGTTTTCGTTAGTGTCATATTTAATAACCTTACAAGTCTTTTATGGTTCTTTTCAAATAGTTCTTTCAAAAGGTTATGCTGCAGCACTGTCATGTTGCTTGCAGAAACTAAGATAGCCTCTTATCCCTTCCAGATAAGAAAAACATGCTCAGGGACGAAGGACAATAAGATACACAGACAGTGATGAGTGATGCAAAACCAGTAAATACAGATGAAAACTTATTGGTATAAGGAGTAAAGGAGCTTGGAGCCTGACTTGGGTCTTAAATCGGCTACGACTTCGCAACCCAGATGTTAGCCTTAGGTCAGCTTTTTATATTGAAGCCACACATGGATGGTAAAAAGATCCTATGCTGCTAAACCCTGAAAACATTGCGACTTTCATTACTATTTCCGTCGATTATTACCGCAGTGATGATTGATCCTTAAAAAAGCCTTGTGCCTTAATCATCCTTCGCAAAGGATCTATGATCAAAACACTTTAGTGATTCATCTCCCCACACACCACCCCACCACCCTAGCTCTTCTGTCAACCTACCTGCAAGAAACACTAAAAATACACACTGTATTTTACCCAAACAACATATGCAATTTGCAAGATGACTACTGTTTCATGAGCATACTGGCTCGCACTGGCGTAACATTATTGTAACTCCACTAAGACATTAAAATGCCTAGGAAAACTTATAGAAAGTATTCTACAGTCAGCTAAATCCAAGCATTCATTAAGAAAATTAAGCAACGATAAGCCAAAACCACGTCCCCAATCATTCCAACGACCAAAACGAGACAACTTTCAGCTTAACATAAGATGAATTGGAAATTAACAAAGAAAACGGACCTATAAAGCTCTTCAAAGCTAAGTCCACTGGCATTATGATTATAAATCTCATTGATGGCATGCTCCAATAACCTCCAAGTTTTATCAGCATACCTGGGATCAACTACAACTTTGTGCTTGAACGCCTCTATCTGAAAATTCCTCTTCTTCTGATTACTACTCATCTTAACACCCAGCAATCTCCAACTTAAAATCGACAAGCCCTTTTATTGTATAAACAGTTGTTTAATTCGACAAATTAGTCACAGAAATCAGACATAGAACATGAATTACAGGTGTTTGGTATAAAATCTGGAGCTAGAAAAAGGATCTAGGTGTTTAGATAAATGGTTGTGTTTCTAGGGTTTATGAAGAGAAGAATAAAGGGGGGCGAGGAGTAAGATTGAGAAATGGGTAACAGCCATGGGAGGGCAAACACTAAACCCCGTAGCAAGGAAAATGGATAGCTCTGCTCCAATAGTTGCTCATCATTTACTCGTCTTGTGGTTGAAAAGTAAAAAAAAATCAGATTTTACAATAAAATATTATAAATATTTATAAAATACCATTTTTCTGATGACAAGAAAAAGGAAAAATTGGCATTTGCGGGAAAGTAAATAAGACAAGAGATTCGGTGACGATGGTAAAAGTTGCGGACAATAGTAAAGGTCATCGGTGCACTATGGACATCAAACAGAGACGCCGTCCATAATAACACGTGTTGCAAGGATTGGTCGTGGGAAACCACGATGTGTCGTGTGGAAAATTAAGAAAAACTACAACAAAGTCTTCAGTAGTTTCTTTGAGTAGCAGCTAGTGTTCTTGTTATTTTATAGAGTCTTGTGTGACCGTTGTTAATGGTTGTGTGCATAAATAAATTTAACGACATAACGGTCGTGTCACATTGATGAGCATTTACTCCGGTCGTTAGTTATATTTGGAGTATTAATGAGTCAAATCTTCAGTAATTATGCGATATGACTTGCATTAAATAGTAAAGATAACAGTTGTCGAGGGAAAACATGCGTTTTAGTAATAATCCAAGATAGACCAATACCGATGTCAGTTGAAGAAAATATCATATGTCGAAGGTATCAACTGTTATGTCGCAGGTATGATCGACGATCAAGGATCTTGTCGTGGGAATTTTCCACCTGGATCAAGGTATCAACTGTTATTTGATTTCCATTATTTTCCCTCCGTTTCCCTTTCTTTCATATTACTTCTCATATTAAAAAAAAAAACATAATGTTAATGAGTCAGATTCTATTTTAAAAGAAAATCAACTTTCATAGAATATAAATATATGTACAAGTGTTTTATGTCTATTTAATCTGGCTTAATATGACTAATCCAATAATCGATCATAACTTAAAAACGCTTAACAAAGGCTAAGAGGTTGTTTGTTTACCTCTTAATAGTTCCACTAAAAGGCACATCAAAATCTTGTTTGACCAAAAAAAGTTTGTCTCTTAATAGTTCTGAAACCCCTTGGATGACTTTGTATCATGGGTCTCCCTTAACTATTCATCGCCCTAATTTTATTGTAAACAATTACCACACAATTATATTTCATGTTGCACTATATCATGAGAGCTTCTTAATCATGATGACTACTTAATCATTTTGTACCAAACTATTCAGCGATTGTCAAACAATACCTAAATTCAGGCCTTATTCAGTAACAAGGTACAATTAACTGGACTCAAATTTTATGATCATCTTCATTAGTAAAATACTGTTATCACATATTTTAACTACTATGCTTGTAGTTTAATATTTTTATATACTTTTCCATTTTAATATATTTAAATATCATCTTATCTGGTTTATAGACTACTTGATTCAATAGTTCAATAAATTTGTACAAGTAATAATAATTTTTTTTAATATAATTATTGTATTTATAAAATAAAATATTCTTATTTATTATTTCTCTAATATTTTATTTTATAAATGGCTAAATTTTTAAAAAAATTCAAAAACAATATAAAATAAATATAGTAGATGACTTTCTTAAACAACCATCATATTTAATCATCAAAACATATAGTTTTTTAACACAAAAATTTAGTTAATTTCAGCTTGACTCCAAAAGGTTAAAAGTATCAGGAGGTCTCAGGTTCAAATCTAAGGAGGAATAAAAATCCTCTTGTGGCTACGAAGGTTCATATGAGGTGACTTCAGGCTATCTGCAAAGAGGTGGTCGTCCTGGGATTAGTCGGCTCGCATAGCGGGTTGGATATCCAGGTTAATAAAAAAAAGTTCCATTCATATTACAAGGAAAAAAAACATATATATTACTTAGTATTATATAAAAAGTTTTTGATCAAATATTCAAAATAGATCTTGTAAGCTGTGAGTTTGTAACACGTGTGAATCAAAGAAAAACTATAAGTGACGTGATTAACTAAGTTTGTAAAAATATAATGTAACGCCCCAACCCACACATTGCATGTAAAACATATTTCATACCAAAGAAATACATATTCATTTAACATTCGGGTCCCTTAGTACAAGAATCTATCATGACCAAATACAAGGTTCAAAAATTCGAAATACATAACTTGTACTAATCAACAAAACTACTCATCAAAAGCAACTCCTCATCCAAAATGCATATAAGAAAARCATTAAATCTTTTMTTTTCCCTTAYCTTCTGTACCTCCTGCAATACATATTTAAAATCACAAAAACGAGGGTTAGACTGAAGAGWCTAGTGAGTTACCCTAATCATGTAATTGCAGGGTGAAGGATCACCAAAACCTTTATAAAACAGCTATTCACATATATAACAAATATATGAATACGCAAGAAGGTAATACCAATTCATTTTCCATATTCAAGCTAACCACGTAGCTATACAAATTACATACCTTTGAACCAATCGGGTTTCATTTAATACCATTTTAAACCTTTTCTTTATCAATTAAGGTTTAAACAAAGATTCAGGCCAAACTTGACGTTTCATTCTCAATAACATCCAGACTATGATTTACAATAAGAACCTTGATCCTAAATCTTTAAATCACAAAGAAATAAAGATTCCAGATCACGGTAGTCTTAAAGGATATAATAGAAAGAGTTATATAATACCACACGCAGACAATGCCACTCTTATAACAAAT